CCTCTCCCTCTCTTCTTTCTTGCTCTTCGCTCTCCTCCTCCTTCCCTTCTCTTTCCTCTCCCCTCTCCCTCTCCTTTCTCCCCTCTCCCTCTTCTCTTTCTCTCTCTTCACTCTCCCCTCTCCCTCCTCTCTTTCTCTATCCTCTCCCCTCCCTTTTCTCTCCTCCTCCCTCCCCTCTCTCTCCCTGTCCCTCTCTCTCTCTCTCTCTCGCTCTCTCGCTCTCAAACACACACACACACACACACACACACACACACACACACACACACACACGACTCTCATCTGATTCAATATGATCCTTTGGGCTGGGCCTCCATATACAGGCTGACCTCTCTCCCACCTGCTCGCCCTCTGCTTTTCCCCAAACTTGCCCCCGGGGGCTCAGGGTGGGTCACAAACTCTCCCGCGGCCTTCCCTGTTTCACTGATTTATTTCTGGAGGTGTCCCAGCAATTCCTGAAAGACGCAGCTTCTCCCGCCGGGGATTGGCTGCCAATCTAACTGCCTCTTCTCCCACCGGAGGTTCTTATGAATAGGAAATATTTCCTGAGGTATTTTTTTGATGTTGACAGAACAACAAGAGTCCGGAGGGGACCTTGGAGGTCATCTAGTCCGACCCCCTGCTTGGGCAGGAAATCCTATATAACATTTCCGACAAAGGGCTGTCCAGTCTCTTCTTAAAAACTTCCAGTGTTGGAGCATTCACCGCTTCTGGAGGCAGGTGGTTCCACCGGTTAATTGTTCTCACTGTCAGGAAGTTTCTCCTTAGTTCTAGATTGCTTCTCTCCTTGGTTAGTTTCCACCCGTTGCTTCTTGTCCTGCCTCCAGGCGCTTTGGAGAAGAGCTTGACTCCCTCTTCTCTGGGGCAGCCCCTGAGATACTGGAACACTGCTATCATGTCCCCCTCGTCCTTCTCTTCGTTAAACTAGACATACCCAATTCCAGCAACCGTTCCTTATATGTTTTAGCCTCCAGACCTCTGATCATCTTTGTTGCTCTTCTCTGCACTCTTTCTAAAGTCTCAACATCTTTTTTACATCGTGGTGACCAAAACTGGATGCCGTATTCCAAGGGTGGCCTTACCAAGGCCTTGTAAAGTGGTAGTAACACTTCACGTGATCTTGATTCTAGCCCAGCCCCTCTGTTCTTGCCCCCCACCCCAACTTGGTTTTTTCCTCGCTTGATCCCAGCTCCTCCTTCAGTCCGGACACCCAGCGTCCGCTGCCTCCTCACCCCCCCCCTCCTTGCAGGCCAGAGAGGGGAGGCAGCTGTCATGCTACCCCACCCCGCAGCTTTTCCCACTGCTGGCTCTGTTGGGAAGCTGGGAGCCAGGAGCCTGCTCACGGGGGGGGGGGGGAGAGAAGCAGGACAGAAGCACCTGAGCAGGTGAAGGGGGCGGGGGCTTCGCACCAGCAACCTGAACGCTGGGCGCCTCCACACGGTGGCAGACTTTCCGACTAGGATGGCCCGTCTAGGGGCTCCGTGGTCTGAACCGAGCTGACGCGTGGGGAGGTGCGGGGGGAGCCTCTTCCTCTCCTTTCTCACTCCCCCGACTCGTCTTCACCTGAGCCGGACTCCTGGACCCTGCTTCATCACTGGAGGCTTTGGAGAAGAGACTGGACTGCCATCTGTCGGGAATGGTGTAGGGACCCCTGCTTGGGAAGGGGGTTGGACTAGATGACCTCTGAGGTCCCTTCCAGCTATTCTATTCTATTCTATTATTAACTCTATTCTGTAAGGATCTCCTTGAGCAAGGGGTTAGACTAGATGACCTCTGAGGAGACCTTCCAACTATTCTATTCTATTCTATTCTATTCTTAACTCTGTTGTTCTGTAAGGATCTCCTTGAGCAGGGGGTTGGGCTAGATGACCTCTGAGGTCCCTTCCAACTATTCTATTCTATTCTATTCTATTTTCATTTCATATTTTCTATTCTATTCTATTCTATTCTTA